GTGTTTCTGTGTGACATTTCAGTGTGTGTTTCTGTGTGACATTTCAGTGTGTGTTTCTGTGTGACATTTCAGTGTGTGTTTCTGTGTGACATTTCAGTGTGTTCACATGACCGAGCTGCAGTGTCTCTTTTCAGATGTCTGCCAGGATGTCAGATTTGCCAGCAGCTGTTACGGTAAGTCTGTGCTGTTTTTTTTGCGCAATAGTAGAGTGTTTTTTTCAAAGACTATATTTCAGTCTTTTTTTTTTTTCATTGTACAGTTCAGTTCTGACCCCCATGCTGTGCTGCAGGTGCCACTGTGGCCGGCCGGCCCGACAGCATGTGGGCTCGGACGCCATGCCTTGCGGCGGGAGCCTGGATGAGGAGAGGGAGACACAGCAGGAGTGGTCGGTGTGCAGGGACACCGTGGAGCGGCCAACCGATGCGTACGGCGTGCTCAATTTCCAGGGGGCCTCTCACACCTACAGAGCCAAGGTGGCCGGCTGCTCCGCCGACTCGGTATCGCGAACTATCCTCGCCACGCCACGCTAGGTTTCCGCAAGTGTGAATGTGCTCTTCTCTTCTCTGGCAGTTCGTACGCCTGTCTCACGACTCCAAACCCGAGTTGGTGTTTCAGCTCTTGCTCAGAGAGTGGCAGATGGAGCTTCCGAAGATGGTCATCTCTGTCCACGGCGGAGCACGCAACTTTGGCCTGCATCCTCGCATCAAGCAAGTGGTGGGCAAGGGCCTGGTTCGAGCTGCGGCCTCCACCGGAGCCTGGATCCTCACCGGTGGCCTGAACACAGGCAAGAACGGCCGTCGAGCTGGCTGAGGGCTCTCCTGCAGTCTGTCAGACCTCGGGCTACGTGACGGCTGTTTGAAAGTCAATTACCGTTGTAATCCGCATATATGTTTGCTGTTACGATTGTGGCTATTAGCAGTACTTCTGCAGCTGGTATTTCTGCGAGTTTGTGTCATTATTAATTTTTCTTTATCAGAAATGCCATCTTGAAGTGAGTTACACATGCTACCCTGTGTAAAGCAGAATAAGTGAGAGATCTCATCCGCCCAGGCTGATAATCACGATGACAGGAATGGCCCTCTGTTCGTAGTACTGGGATTCTGCTTTGCTCAACATTTCTTTTCATATTTTAGAAATTTTAGAATCATTGTTTTTATTTTTGCAATATTAGGTGCCGCAAAACATGTCGGTGACGCCTTGAAAGAGTACTCCTCCAAGTCGTCATGGAAACTGTGCACCATTGGCATCGCACCATGGGGGATTATCGAAAACCGGGAGGACCTCATTGGAAGACATGTGAGGACCAGACGACTTTCTGCTGATAAATGTGACCCAGTATCAGTGTGTAAAATCCTTCAGGGGATTCGCCAGGAGTGAATTCCTGTTCATTTCCGGAAGGCTAAAGCGTGTTGGGTTGATGTCCAGGTGGTGCCCTATCAGACACTGCTGGCTCCCTTGAGCAAGCTGGACGTGTTAAACAGCCTGCACTCACACTTCCTGCTGGTAGACGACGGTACCGTGGGCCGGGCCGGCGCCGAGGTCCAGCTGCGCAGGGATCTGGAACGGCACATCAGCCTACAGAGGATCCACACCAGTAAGCCTGGGAGTCTGGGCCCAGTGGGACCCAAGGAAGGAACCGTGTCGGCTTCACAGGGATCATCCTTACTATCACTGTCATTATGGTCTTCATAGGGTTAGTTCAGAATACGTAACGAAGCATAAGTGAAAGACAGCACCCCGTACGAGGCCAGGGATCTCTGGATTCCATCTTCACCTCCAACCTTCTAGACGGCTTTCCTGAAATCCGTGTTCCTTAGGGGCCACAGTGTTTGCCGAGAAAGGGTCGTTATTGCTGAAAAAAAGTTGTCATGGCTGTAATGGTGATCTTTAGGGGCAGATGGAACAGGTGTGTGTTGAGTGTGATTGGAGGCTTTTTGAGCAATTCTGTACTCCTACAAGACTTGGATGCATTGTATATAACATATCAGTATTGGCCAATATTTGTTAAAAATCAGGATATCTGTGTTGGTCCAACGTGTGAGTCTTTTTTAAAGACAAGATATTTCAGATCGATATTTTGTTTCCTACAGAGTAATAAATGATGCAGCGTTATTCTGGGGGCAAGTTTCAGTACCGGCACACCCCTCCAGTTATCGGTCTCGCTGTCACGAGTCTAAACAGAATTCTGGTATTGATGCACTGCTACTACCAGAACTTCTGTGATATGTTTCTATTAAAACTTGTGTCCTTCACTAGGAATCGGGCAGGGGGTGCCGGTGGTGGTGCTGATCCTGGAGGGCGGGCCCAGAGAGATCCAGACGGTGCTGGACTACGTGCAGGAGAGCCCCCCCGTGCCTGTGGTGGTGTGTGAGGGCACGGGCCGAGCGGCCGACATCCTGGCCCACATCCACAAGCAGACAGAGGAGGGCGGGTGAGATCTGCTGCTATTGTGAGACACTGGAATGTACTGGGACATACTGGGAAACACTGGGACATAGAATGGCATAGGGCTAGACAATGTTATAGCAGGGTTCACTCCTACTGGGACACACTGGAATGTAGTGCTGCTGGGATAGACTGATATTGGCAGGAAACTAGGATATATTGGGAATTTGTCAGGGTGAATTTCTGTGGGGGGGGGCGGCTGGGAGGAAGGGAACCATGTGAAAATGAGTGTCAATTGTGACAGAGACACCCTTTCGGCCCTTAGAACTCTCCCCGATGGTGTCGAAAACGAAGTGATCGCCACCATTAGGAAGACCTTCAGCCTCACACGCAGTGGTGCAGTGCAGCTCTTCCAGGTGCTGATGGAGTGCATGAAGCACAAGGAGGTGGTGAGCTGGCCGTCTCAAGTCTCTGAGGACGTGAGAACGTGGAGCCCTGATGTGCTGATTGCCCTGCCCCTTCTGGATCTGACTGTTCCTTCCTGAATCTGTCAGATTACTGTGTTCTCTGTGGATTCGGAGGACAATCAGGACATCGACGTTGCCATACTGAGGGCATGGCTCAAAGGTGAGGCTGCTTGCTCTCTCCTCACGTCCTTCACTGCAACGCACTGCAGACCATTCACGTGGTCTCTTTCTGCCGTCCTCCAGGCACTGATGCGTCTCCCTTCGACCAGCTGGCCCTTACACTGGCCTGGAACCGGGTCGACATCGCTAAGAACCACGTGTTCGGTTATGGGCAACGGCTGCTGGTTTGTGACCTTGTGACTGGTTATAGTGTAAAAGAGATTATTCGCAAGAATCGGCAGGGCCCAAGCAAGCTGAGCTTGTAGTAGAACAAGAATGGTGATGTGAAAAAGCGTACGGAGATGATATAAATGGGCCAGGTCTACTGGAACCCTGGGTGTGATTCTAGGTAGAGCTTTGCAGCTGAGCTTGGATCAGTGTTTAAGCTGCTGTGATATAGCCAAATGGTGAGGCAAGGCTGCTCCCAGAGCAGTGGTGGAAGGCAGAAGGTGACTGACATTCTGGGCTGCAGGTGAGCTCCCTGGAGCAGGCCCTGCTGGACGCCCTGGCCATGGACCGCGTGGAGTTTGTGAAGCTGCTGGTGGAGAATGGCGTCAGCATGCACCGCTTCCTGACTATCGCCCGACTGGAGGAGCTCTACAACACGGTGGGAAGACTGCCCGGTCCTCCGGTCCCCGCAGCTCTCACTCCCAGCCCCTCCCAGGTCGCTCATGGCATTTTGTGCCCTTACAGAAGCAGGTTCCATCCAGCAGCACCCTCCTGCAGCTGGTGAGGGATGTTAAAAAGGTACGTGCCGGACCCTTGACGCCCCCCAGAGCTGTCCTTCGATGTGTGTGATGCTAGTAAAGCTGACATGTGACCGTCTCCCCCACCTCTACAGCGCCGCCTGCCAGCCAACTACAAAATAACCCTGATTGACGTGGGCCTCGTCATCGAACGGCTCATGGGGGGCACGTACAGGTGCCAGTACACCAGGAAGTGGTTCAGAATGATGTACCATGATCTCCAAGGAAACGGACGGGTGAGGAAACACTCCCGCCATTCCGCGAGTCGTACTGGTAGAGCTCCTTTCCAGTCATCTCATGTTTTTTTTTTTTTTTCTTCCTATGTCTTCTTTCAGCGATCCCGTCAAAATTCAGGCGGGGGTCGAGCGCAGCGGAAGAACAGCCAGGAGTCCTTCTGTATTCAAGCTGAAAGGAAGCAGCGCTCTAGGCACAATCAATTCGTCAAAATTGCTCAGCCCTACAAATCCAAGGTACTCCCCCTACTGGCAGACTGGAAGATGTGGCAGAACGTGGTTGGGTTGCTTGCATCCCTTGTGGATTATCTCCTTCTACTTCCCCAAGGAGCCAGATGTGTCTACCGAGTGGCCCGAGAGGAGAGGGCGGGTTGGGGCCGCCATGGCGGATGGCGACAGTGACAAGGGGTGCTTCCGCTACCCGTTCAGCGAGCTGCTGGTGTGGGCGGTCCTGATGAAGCGCCGGAAGATGTCACTCTTCTTCTGGCAGCACGGTGAGGAGGCCATGGCCAAGGCCCTGGTGGCCTGCAAGCTGTACCGCAGCATGGCCATGGCGGCGAAGACCAGCAGCGTGGTCGACGATATCGCCGATGAGCTGAAGGAGTACTCCAGGTGAGTCGCGGGCCGCTGCAGCTCGCCAAAGCCGTCACACCCACCCGCTCAGCCCACGGACCATCACGCATGCCGTTCTTTCAGTGAGTTTGGCGTACTGGCAGTGGACCTGCTGGAGCAGGCCTTCAGGGAGGACGAGACCATGGCCATGAAGTTGCTGACCTACGAGCTGAAGAACTGGAGCAGCTCCACCTGCCTGAAGCTGGCCGTGACCTCGTGCCTGCGCCCCCTGGTGGCCCACACCTGCACGCAGATGCTGCTCTCCGACATGTGGATGGGCCGGCTCAACATGCGCAAGAACTCCTGGTACAAGGTGATGCCCCTGTCATGCTAGATCTCAGGGGTGATTGCTAATCACATCACGGAGAATCAAAGGGGTAACGGATGCGACGTGATGTCTAACTGCTCTGGATGCCACTTGTGGATTGTTGCAGCTACAAAACCATCTTCATTTAACTTTGGAAGCAAGTGGGTTTTCACACTGAGCCACGTGTCTCCTTCTTCTAGGTCATTCTAAGTATTTTGGTGCCACCGGCCATCCTCTTGCTGGAATTCAAGAGCAATGCAGAGATGTCCCACATCCCCCAGTCACCAGTCGACCATGAAATGGAGGACAGCGAACACAAGTCCAGTAGAGCTTCGGACCACATAGAAATGGTCAGAGCCTCAAGTGGACTCAGCTCAAGAGGGTCGCTGCTTGTTATTCTGTATGCTCTGTTCTCAGGGAAGGTTTTGAAATCGTGGATTTAGGGTTGGCATAAATTGTTTAATTTGAAAGGCTCCTGTCATTCGTTTTTTTTCCAGGACGTGTTCAGGGATGAGAAAGGAGTCTTTGTGGAAAAGCATGAAACAGAGAGCTACGCTGAACCCAGGAAGTTGCCCCTGACAGCGAAGTTTTATGAGTTTTACCATGCCCCAATTGTCAAGTTCTGGTTCAATACGGTACGTTGGCTCTTGGGTCTTGCCATAATTGACATGGGCTGCAGTGCCCTTGCTGTGCCCAAGCTGTGCCAAGTCTTCTCATCATCTCCTGTGGTCTTGTCCAGATGGCATACCTGACCTTCCTGATGCTGTACTCCTATGTGGTTCTGGTGCAATCTGCCCCCCTGAGCACGCCAGAGGAGTGGGTCGTCATCCTCTACGTCTTCACCTCTGCAATTGAAAAAGTCAGAGCGGTACGACACCGACGGTCCACGCTACCTGCTTAGCAAGTGAATTTCAGCAGTTGAAAATCAAGGTTAATTCCTGATCCCCTTGATCGGTCATGTAGATAACACTGTTGTTAGTTGACATGGCTGTTTTCTTTTTTTAGATGCTCTTGTCTGAAGCTGGAAAGATACACCAGAAGGTGAAAGTCTGGTTCAGCGACTATTTTAACATGACGGACAGTTTTGCAATAGTCATGTTTTTGATTGGCTTCGTATTGCGATGTTGGGTGGACACTGAGGAACACTCTCCTGGAAGACTGGTGTTCTGCCTGAACATCATTTTTTGGTATGTGAGGCTCCTGGACATTCTGGCTGTTAACCAAAAAGCCGGACCCTATGTCATGATGATTGGCAAAATGGTAAGTGATCTGCATCGACCAGAGCAATTGTCCCTAGTACAGTGGGTCCTCGGGTTATGACACAGTTCCGTTCCTACAACAGTGAAGTAACCCGAATTTTGGTGTAAGTCGAAGCATACCCTTCTTCTGATCTCTTTACAATGTCTAATTTTACTTCCATCATGATGGCTTTCCTCTTCACAAATGGAACACTTACTGTATATTCTTCCACCCGCGCAACTAAACTAGTTCGCCCACGTAGTCTGTAAGTATGATGCTAATGGCATAAGCCAAAACACTCACGTCTCAATTTTTTTTATTTTTATGGGAGTGAGCGTTGTAAACCCGAAACGTCGTATGTCGAGACGTCGTAACCTGAAGATCGCCTGTATTTGCTTTATAAAGCGGTGCCACTGTGGGTAGCACTTCTGTGGGTTTGATGGCTGAATTGATTGACTCTTTAAAACGGGGGTATCAAACTCCAGTCCTGGAGGGCCGGAGCCCTGCACATTTTTGGGTTTCCCCTCATTTTCAACTCCTTGTGCTAATTACCACACAGCTCTTGGGCTGAATCATTTATGGTGGAACAGGGAAAGAACTAAGCTACACAGGGCTCCGGCCCCCCAGGACTGGAGTTTGACACCCCTGATTTCAAGACATGTTGACATTTTTTCAGTGCAGATGTACACCAGTAAGTCAAAACATTATGACCTTCCGAACTTGAAGCAAATACTGTTAACTATTTCATAAAAACAGTGCATGTTAAGGTCTGGGATGTTTTCGACAGTAAGCTAACATTAGATGCTCACAATCAACATGTTGAATGAAGAAGATATGGGCAGCAATAAAGATCTAAGTCACTTTGACGGGGGCCAGATCATTATGACGGGTCTGGGTCAGAGCATCTCCAAAACGCCAAGGCTTGTGGAGTGCTCATGGTCAGGCATGGTGAGACCCTGCTGAGGGTGGTCCAAGGAGGGGAAAAACTACAAACCACTGATGTTTGCTTACTGTGTAATATATACCAGACTTTGACACGACTATTTTGACTAGATAGCATTATTCACTTCACGTTGGGGTGGTCATAATGTTTTGGCTCATGGGTGGACATAGCTACTGTGACAGTGATACAGTGCATATTCTCGTTTGTTATTTGAAATGATTCAAATCATTACAATGAATGAAAGGTGAATGAGGTACATTGACAGCTCTTTTGGCTTTGAAGGTTTTCTAGCAAGATTAATAAGGATAAAACAAACATATTAGTCTGATGTTTGGTGGAATTCCCTTAATTGCTTGATTACTGGAAGGCTGTGACTGTTGCTTGCTGTGTAGTGTTTACATTGAGGCTCTTGTCACAGGTCTCCAACATGTTCTACATAGTGGTGATCATGGCCCTGGTCCTGGTAAGCTTTGGTGTTCCCCGGAAGGCCATCCTTTCCCCCAGTGAGGAGCCGGCGTGGAGGATCCTCAGAGACGTGGTCTTCCAGCCCTACTGGATGATATATGGGGAGGTGTACGCATATGAAATTTATGGTAAAGAGCGCGTTTCACTGCGATGCTGTGTAGCCTGAGGCGCCGCATCCCCTACCCAGTGCATACACCACTGGCAGTGTATGCAGTATATGCAGTGTATGCATACACTCCCCTGCTAACTCACCCAACTGAATCACCCTGTCCGGAAGTTTCTTTTCCTACTTCACACTTCAAATGCAGTAGTTTCCAAAAAGCCTGTGTAATGGGTAAAAAGGCTCAGGATACAGAGGTGTGATTAAAGTGTAGACTTTAAACCTTGTAGTGGAGGCTTGCTACATACCCTGCAGGTTGGGGCAGTTACTGGTCACCAGCCACGTTCTGTTTGCACCCTTAGAGGCCAAAGGTAAATAGATTTTAGTTACTGTTGGCTGACCTGGTGCTGCTCACCCCCTGGTGGTTTGTGAGGGGTTTGCAGTGAGCCGTCGCATCACCCAGGCAGAAATCTCTCGTGTTGGCGTATGCCAGTGAGATGAGTCGTTGAAGTTTCCTGGGATATCTTGACAGGCCGTGTACCCAAGCCGCTGTCCAACATTCTGTCTGCCTTCTTTCTCCTCAGCGTGTGCCAACGACAGTGTGGTGCCTCAGCTGTGTCACTCTGTGTCGTGGGTGACACCCTTCTTGCAGGCCGTCTACCTCTTCGTTCAGTACATCATCATGGTCAATTTGCTCATCGCTTTCTTTAAGTAAGTCGGAACCTGGTCCCCATTGCAGTGGGCCATGGGTATTTGCACGACAACTGAAGCGTGGATCATTCTAAAAATAAATATTTTTTACTATTAATTTTAAGGAACTGCATTTGTTTCACGCTACTCAGTCATGTAACACTTAGTTGACCCGTTACACCGCTGCTCATTTGTACAACTGGCTGTGTTTACAGAACCAGTGTCATTAACCGCCCTGCCCTTAGGTTACAGGACATACCGGCAAAACAGTCAAATTAGGGAAGCACTTCGGTGATTAAAGAGCTTCTTTAAGATCGGTCAGTCAGCTGGCTGAATATAACATGTAGCAGTTGTTCTATCACATTATACCCTGTGTGACCAGCTGACTGAACTGAATGAGGCATCATGTGACTCAGCGTCATGTGACTCAACATGAGTGTTTGCACCCTCAGCAACGTCTATGTGAACGTGGAGTCCATGTCCAACCTGGTGTGGAAGTACCAGCGCTACCACTTCATCATGGTGTACCACGAGAGGCCAGTGCTGCCCCCGCCACTCATATCCCTCAGCCACCTGGTCACCCTGCTGTCCTGTTACTGCCGCCGGAGGACCAAGGGCAGCCGGGCTCATGGGCCAAGTAAGGAGTTGTCTCTTTGGGCGGGGGCTCTGCAGGATGGAGCGGGTGGAGGTGTGTTGGGACAGGCTGCTTGCTTTTGGGTCCTACGCTTTCATTCTTTACTGCCATAATTATAAGTACCAAGAGGTTGCTTACACATGTGGAAATTGTGGCAGATGTGTTGCTCCTTTGCGATTTGCAGTCAGGAGGGTATGTGTCATGACACATTGATATCTCTCATCTCCTCTCCTCCCCTCCCCTCCTCTCCTCTCCCATCCCCTCCGCTCTCCTCCTCTCCTCTCCTCCACTCTCCCTTCCCCACCCCCCTCCTCTCCTCCCCTTATTTCCTCCTTAGAGCTGTTTTTGAGTGATGAAGACCAAAGGAAGCTTCATGACTTTGAGGAGAGGTGTGTACAAGCCTACTTCCGTGACAAAAATGACCGGTTTCACTCCAGCAATGAGGAGAGGATCAGGGTGACCTTCAACAGGTATGTTTGAATTGGACAGCAGACGAGGTAGTAAAATCTGTAGCGATAATCATAATAGAATTATGGTCTGACACAAAGCCCTGTGCCATTAGCTCTGCCTTAAATCATTCATATAACAGATATTTTTACTAATAGCGATGTTTACAAATAATTTATTTAGCAGATGCTTTTATTCAAAGCGATGCAGATTATTTTGAGAAAGCAGGGTCATCCAGTTCCAGTTGGGGGTTAAAGGCTTTGTTTGACGGCGACATCACTTTGCCAACCACGGGATTTGAACCAGTGACCATCTGATCAGAGACACAGCATCCTGACCCACTGAGCCACACGTTGCCCCCTGAAGCAGGGGTCCTGTGGGATTTGAACCTGAGCCCTCTCACATCCTGAGCGAGAGTCATACCCCTAGACCAACAAACCATATATGCTTTTATACTTTTATGTTTAAAGTGATTGGAACATATTTCTAAGGAAAAACTGGACCTGAAATAATTCTCTCCAGTACATCTAATATATATTGTCCACAGTCCACCCTCACACTGGATAGCTACCTGAATCTTCCATGCAAAACACTGAAATGGTATTTTCATGATTATTTCCACATTAAACAGTAGCAGACACTTTTTCGTATGAGCAGAGGGATGATCCTAAATGGACTTTATTTCAAAATGAATTTGAGATTGAAATGCTGCAGAAAGAGATGTCAGGCAGTGAAGCAGAGAATCTGGAGGAGGTTTGCCGGTGACTGGGAGCAGAGCTGAGCTGCTTCTTGCTGTCTTAGGGTGGAGGGCATGTGTGTGCAGCTGAAGGAGCTCTCGGGCAGGGTGAGCTTCGTGAAGCAGACGCTCCAGGCCCTGGACTCGCAGATCGGCCACCTGCAGGACCTGTCCGCGCTGACGGTGGACATGGTGAAGGCACTGGCCGCCCGGGAGGCGTCTGAGGCGAGCCGCCTGCACCAGCACCTCGTGCAGCACATCAGCCTGCCCAAGCAGCCGGGGCCCGGACCGAAAGGCGCCGACCTGCCGTTCGGAGCCGAGGGCCGTGCTGCAGATACTCCAGAGCCCCGAGCCTTGGTTAGTGGCCCCGCCTCCTGGGCCGTGTCCTCCTCGGGACTCCACTGGACAGGACAGTTGCCCCAATCTAGACCCCAGAGTGGTACCAGCTTGCCCAGGCCGTGCCCTCCCACTGACTGCATCTTTCCCGCTGCTCAATCCCCGCTCGCTGCCGAGAGCCAGCGGGACATAATGCCACAAATGGACTTCAGGGTGTTTAACGGTGAGCTCCAACAATCTTCTACGTCCCTCCAAGAAGGGGCCTGCTTTATCCATGGTTTATGCTCTGCTGTGTACATCTAGGAACCTGTGTATCCTAAAAGTGTTCCCTTTGTATCTTTCCCCGTCCCAGCCGTGGAGCGTAATAACCTGGTGCGACTGTCGCAGAGCATCCCATTCACCCCGGTGCCTCCTAGAGGTAGTATATGGAGACCCCATCCTCACCCTGTTATTCACTGTCAGCTCAAACCTAACCAACCCGATCTCACGAATTTTCGTGCAGCCATCACGACATAAAATCTATTTAAACGTGCTGTGATCACGTTTTCGGCTTTTTTTACGTGCTGGGGCTTGGATTTTACTTCTGTTAATAATTCCTTTTGAATAATGTCCGGGATTTCCCTCCATACACCAACTCATTCATGCAACAGAAGTAAAATCCAAGCGCTGTTTTGCAAGGTCGCGTCACACGTTATGGAAAGCGTTATCAGATCACAAAAAACAAAATATGATTCTGGCCATGCATGACTTTCCCGTCCCTTAGTCACCAGTTAGCGCTCATAGTGGCGGTGTTAGGCACTGCCCATTAAAACACATAGGGAGGGGAAACGTTACCCCAGCACGTAAAAAAAGCCGAAAACGTGATCACAGCACGTTTAAATAGATTTTATGTCGTGATGGCTGCACGAAAATTCATGAGATCGGGTTGACCTAACAGAGGCTTCTTATGCAAAGGGAGCATGAATTACTTCAGTACAAATATCCAGCTGCAGAAACTGGCAAGCACATAATTCTAAATTAGGCAAGTCGTGGAAAGCTAAGGAGAGAAGCTTAAATGACAAATATTTATTGAAAGTTCAAGTTAAAGATATCCGTCGCTCATTCGCTCTCTGGCGCCCCCTACAGGCGAGCATGTCACCGTGTACCACCTGGAGGAGAGCTCCCCCATCACCCTGAGTCACAGCATGTCCTCCTGGGCTCAGCAGGGCTGTGCTGCCCGGCTCGAGTTCCTCAGCAAAGAAGAGATGGGAGGGGGCCTTCGCCGTGCCATCAAGGCGCTCTGCACCTGGTCTGAGGACCCTGGGCTCTCCCCGGGCCACTTCTATGTCGTCAAGTCCTTTCAGCCGGAGGTGGTGGGCGCTTGGCGAGGCATCTACCCGGAGAACACCGTGCTGCACCTCTGTCTCAGGGTAAGGGGCGTGGGGCTACAGCTCATGGGCACACAGACCACGTGGTAGGGGTCGTGGTGTGGATGGAATGGCATATTTTTGGTGAGGATCGTCACGATGTAGATCATTATTTTTTTTTGTTTATAAACCTGCCAAATCTGAGTCTACAATACAGCATGAAAATATTAGGCAAAGAAAATGTTTAAATGACCTTCAGGTTTGTGTAAAACTATGATTAGTCTGTGTTAAGTGTAGGGTGTAGTGGCTGTGGCTCACTACACCCTACTCAGGATGGCCAAAACAATGCTTTATGAACCATTTGCTGTATTTTCTGCCCCCAATAGATGGTGCTCTTAGTTTGCCTTGGGGCATGCTTTGAGCCTTTTTTTGAACAGTGACCACCATCTAATGGCATCAGAAAATACAGCAAATGGTTTATTCTTCCTCACCAGCTATGCCACACACTGTTTATTTGACATTGTAGCCGTGTTTATTGTGTGACACAAATACAATATTGTTAGCAGTCCTATGGTTAATAGTTTTTTTTTTTTTAAGTTAACTAATTGGTTAGAAAAGATCAATTAAGCTTTTAGTTCAAGATCTAGCTGCTAAATTGATAAAGGAATGAGGTCAGAAATGTTATAGCGCTGAAATGTTATACATTCTGAAATTCTTTTGTTTCACATCAGCTGGTTTTTGTTGTAGTGCTCCGGCAGCCTCTAAATATTCATGCATCGCATTGTAGGTGCTTGCCGGTTTGTTCTTCCATTATATCAGTAGTGTTAATAGTGCGATTCTCGCGATAAATGCTTACCATGGATACAATTGCAACAAGTCACAATATATTATCACCAGAACTGCACTGAGTATATTTGTGAGGGTTTAACACCAGCAATATTTGGACCAGCTGAATGAAACCAGAATGTGTCGGCATAACATTAACATTGGGTTCTCCTTGTTCTTTGTGCTGCATGGTCATTGTTCCTGTTTCCACCCCCAGGAAATACAACAGCAAAGAGCTGCTCAGAAAATGGCTCATGCCTTCAACCAGCTGAAGCCCAAATCCATCCCTTACTCCCCCAGGTAGTACTCTGTGTGCCTTGCTCTTACAATGGTCCTGATGGACATTTTCAGATCCACCAGCTCCAATCTGCTTCCGTGTCTTTGTTCAAAGCTTTCTGGAGGTGTTTCTGCTCTACTGCCATTCGGCTGAGCAGTGGTTCACCATGGAGGAGTGCATTGTGGGAGAATTCAGAAAATTTAACAACAACAATGGTGACGAGATAAGCCCCTCAAGTCTGCTGGAGGAGACCATGCTGGCCTTCAGCCACTGGTCATACGAGTATACCAGGGAGGAGATGCTGGTGCTGGACCTGCAAGGTACCAGCAAAAATCCATCAGGTCCACACATCTGTTTACTGTCCTGCAAAGACCTGACTACACTGACATGTTTGATTTCTTTTTTAAGGTGTAGGGGAGATTTTAACTGACCCTTCTGTGGTTACAAGTGGCGAGAATGGGTATGCATCATTCCCGCTTTCTCCTCACTGCAAAGATCTTCATCTTCACTCTGTCCTCCTCACTTGAAGTGCTACAACAGATAGGTCTGGGTGGTACAGCCCAGTGAGGCACAGCAGCGCTCATCAGGATATAACCTGTGCTCTACAGATCCCGTGCCATGATATTCGGACCAGCCAATCTGGGTGAAAATGCGGTCAGGAGCTTCCGGGCCAAACATCGCTGCAATCCCTGCTGTCAGGAGCTGAAACTTCCTGGTGGGTCTTTCACAGGCTGCTGTCCTGATACTGAATCCTAGTCTGCATCCATCCATCTTCCATGAGTCTTTATCTGCTCAGTGCTCCATCCGTCCATCCATCTTCCATGAATCACAGGGCACATTCATGCATGCAGTCATACACTAGTTAAACAAGTTAAAGAGACATATTCATCTGACTGTATGCTTTAAACAACGGGAGGAAACTGGAGTACCTACCCAGAAGTATCCTGTACCCAGGTAACACAAGAACACGGTGTGTGTGTGTGCGCGCGCGCACGCATACTTTTTTGCGATTGCTACATAGTTAGGACCACACTTCTGCACAATGTGATAAACACTTGTTACTTTTTACCTTGTGGGGACTTTTTTTTTTGGTCCCCACAGATAACCTATGAATCTGTGACTACAATCAAAAGACTAAAAATGCTAAAAGTCTTGTATTTTCTTTGGTTACGGTTAGGGCTGGGTGTAGGGATTAAGGTTATTATTGTTGGAATTAATGTTTTTCCCACAGAATGGAGTGTCCCCACAAAGACATGTGTGTGTGTGTGTGTGTGTGGCTACACTGAGCCCCCGTGTTGCCCTCTACCTGATGCTGTTTTGTCATCAATATAACACACTTAGGATTTAATTTAGGGAAAATGCTTTACAGCAGTATTTGCCCATAGCTACAATGCTCATTTGTTTTTGTTTCCTTTCATCAGAGATTTAAACTGGAACAATTACTCAGTTCAGGTGATGGATACCAAGAGACCACCTTGATGCTCAGGATCTTCACAAGCTGGAATAGAAAATGCTTGTCTGTTACCTTGACGACCTAAGTTCCTTAGGGACGGGGAGGCTGCCACGTGTGCCACCCAGAAATATGGATCAGGGTTGTGCTCAGGCATTTGCAGTGACTCTACTGGTTGTCAGGGAGACACTCAGAGTAACCTATCAGTGTTTACATTATTTAATGATTCAGTTCTTGACCAAAAAATGTGCTTATGTTTTTAAAGGATCATGTAACTGATTTTTACAGATGTCATGTATAACATAAATGTATATCCGTTTCATAATATGTATAATGAAAATATAATTTTGTATAATTTATTTTAGTATTCAGTTGACTATTGGGGCTGTTTTTTTACCTCATTTTTCTTGTGTAATGAAAGCAGCCTTTTTTCTTTTTAAGCAAAGACTGTTGAAAAGAGTGTGTGCTGTAATGACCGCATCCCACCCCCCCACCCCCCAAGTGACTCTAGGGCCTGTTGAGTCCTTTTTTAAAGATTCTCTGATGAAATTTTTGCAGTTCCTGGTTGCCACTACAGCAACAGCATAGAGTCTAAGCACCTTGCGCTCAAACCATGATTTTTAAATTCTTTTGGAAAGCATCTTACCTGAGTAAACTTCTCCTGTTATGACAGATGACTGTGACTCATCGTGTACCCGCAGGTTGCATTCCTGACTAATAATAGGAAGTCAGACTGTCACATGATTTTCATTTGCGGAGGGGAAAACATTTCATTACAACTACTAAAACTCCTTGTTCATGAGCTGATTTTAAGCAGCCTGATAATCCACGGCTGGGACGGAACACAGACTTTCTGATAGACACAATACACCCCCCTATCTATAGACTGTTGAATAAAAACCACCTGTGCTTTGTATTTTTCATTTAATTATTGGTACATTCTTAAATACGTATTAGGATATTGAATGGAAACAGATCTCACAGCATTGAAGGACACAGATTTAACATAACAAACTATTAATGGCTGACTTCATGCTAGATTAGGTCATGGGCAAAGACGTGAAGGATTCATAATGCTCTGTGCTGTGCGTGATGTTGCCCGAGGGTTTGGTCTCTTTGTGCTTCCTCTCACGTGGAATAATCGGCTCCAAGGCACCTTTTTTGCAGCTTGAACATGTTTAAGTGATGCTGTGGTTGCTGCCTAACTCCACCCTGTTCTTCATGGTATGCTAAAAAAAAATGCTTAAATTCACCTGGAGGGGTAAAAACTGATTGTTACGGGAGTGATAGGTATGCGGGTGCCCAGTCTGCAGCAGCACTGTTTCCCAAACAGAGTAATGTAGCCCTCTCTTTAGGGGGGGTTAAAGGGAAGCTTTACATGTTATGGGCTCCCGTACCAGTATGTCCCCAGAATAAATTAAACAAACTGGGACTGCCACAGCAGTGAAGGTTTCCATGCCGTGACCTCCCTTAACCTTTCGTGATGCCAATTTGTTGCAGCTACGGACATGTTCGGACGCTGGAAAAATGCAGAAATACTTGCTCTGCTGAGATATGCTGGCTCTGCCGGATAGCTGCCCGTCAGCCGTTGTTAAAGGTGGAGTACACGTGAATGGCCCTGGATGTTCTGCGGAAGATGCTTCTCCACCAGGGGAAAAAAATCTTGCATTTGTAGACATATTTGAGTCACACTATAGGAATAATAATTCAAGTTTTTCCTTCTAGCACAATCAGTGAGATAATTTGTAGTTTAGGAAACATAAACCAGGAGTTGTAGGGTACAGGCTAAGAGCGGCGTTGACGGAAGTCGGTTATGAGGAAGGACTCCAGGTCGGTACTGACTGAGACACTTATGAATATTTGGTCTTCAAATGAGCCGTCTAACACGGAATGTCAGGTACATCTTTGAAAAAACCGGCCCCCCAGGCTGGACCTGCGGTTCCCCGAAATGTCACCCCTCAAGAGGCTCACACATGGCCCTGTCACAGGAGCGATGTTTCTCTGTGCAGTCGAAGGTGTCAGCGCCTCTTTCAAGCTAAACTTGGTCACTTTCTAGAAAGTTCCGATCTCTTAGCGACGTGCTCGCAAGTTATTGTGCGAGGGCCATGGCACAGATCACGTACGTATAGGCAGTGTACATGTTAATGCAGGTCTCTCTGGCCAATTACGCTCAGGGTACAAGAAAAGCTTGAGTTAAGCTATGGGGCAAAACTGCGCAGAAACTGAGGGGAAACAGAATCGGAACATTTTAAGAATTTCTTGCTCAGAAAAACTGTGGAAGGCTTTGAGGACTGGCTAATGGCGCAGGTTTCGTAAGCTTAGGACACAACACTGGGGTTTAGACCTCATATACTTGCTTAGCATACTACTATAAATAGTATTAATAGATGAAGCATTAAACTTCTAGATGATTCTCTAAGAGCTGCCGTGCAACACAGATGTGAGTGCAGGCTTCTCCCCATCCACAGGAGGCTGCACCAACGCGGCATCTCCTTAACCGAAGACGGAGGCAACCTCCCTCTGCCTACGTCTGCACTGGCTCAGCCCATCGGCGGCGGGCTATTCGGAAGAACACCCTCGTCCTCGGCATCCTCTCAGAGGGCCGTGTAAAAGAAGATGTAAGCGGCTGAGGACTTGACAGAGGATGCGGGGATGTCGGTCACCTCGTGGTCGTCAAACTTGAACCAGCGCTGTTTCTGGGCATTCTTGCAGTAGGCTGTGTAGTGTCCGCCATCGAGCCCCCCGTAGTGGTTCTGTGGAGGGGCAGAAATGGCGACTGAAACCACAGCACATTTGCAGGGTGTGGATACTGTACAGGGCAGAAAGCTGTGCCGCAAGTATGACAGTACAAGGCTGCGGATTCCTGCAACTGCACTTGTTGAAGATGTACTTCACTTACATTAGGAAATGGGGAATGTTTATTTACAGGTTGAGTTTGAGTTTTGTTAGAACATTTGTTAAAGAACTGAAACCCCCTAGACTAGGGGACCAGTGTCCGGGTATCCACGGACCAGTAGATGTTGTACAAAAAATTCACAGACCGGTACAATGATCGAGGGGGCAGCAGATCGATCAGTTTTCAAACAGTATGTTTGTTTGCGAGGGGCCAGAAACAATTAAAAATATATAGTTTATTTTTGGAAATGAACCACAAATCCCCCAGTGCTCCACAGCCCTGTGGCTACGGAGTGGTTGGGAAGCTCTACCCTAGCGGTCACAGAGAGCCCTGTCGTACGCACACACTCTAAGATTCCTGTGTGTTGGGTCTACTTACAGATACTCCGATCAAGTTATACTTTTTCAAGTTGTGTTTTGGGCCGATAACATATTGAGCCAAATCCAGGTTCTCAAGGGGGAAGTCGACCGACGTCTGCAGCTTCTGTTTCCAGCGACCTTCATAAGAAAATCTAGAAAAGGTCACAAGAGATCCATGTTCAAAAGGATGAAAACTGACACTTGAAACCTACGATAAAATGAGTGAATCCCTTCTGTTTGCCAGTACAATGACTGTGACTTTTACCTTTTCAAGTGCACCAGCAGAATTGGTGGAACTTTCCAGATTTCCAACTTCTTGGTGGCATCTCTGTGGACCTTACATTGTCTACAGAGGACCCTGTTGCTATCAGTTAGCTTCTCTTCTTTGGAGAAGAGCTTCAGGCAGTCCTGCAGGAAAGAGGAAGTGGACGCTGTCATGAGTCACCTGTGACCAGGCCACGGGACAATGCCGCAGGAGAACAGGGACGTTACCTGCAGGGTACACCTGTTAGTGGATGCCAGTGGCAGGGATAGGTACATGAACGTCTCGAAGGTGCGGGACTTCCGGTGGCATGTCAGACACTGAACGGTGGATTTGAACTGACCCTGGAACAGGGCTACGATGACAGACTCATTGAGCAGCTTGTGTTTGCTCCAGGCTAATTCTGCTGCCTTGAAATCATCCAGGTGGTCAATGGTTTCCTCCTTGTATCTTTTGCGGTTGTCAGCCTGATTGGAAGATAAACATGTCAGAACTCTCTCTTCTGACCATCATGAAGTGCTGCTATTTGCGGTAATGACACGGTCATCCTATGTGGCCAAAAACCTGCAAGGCACGCCTGTGAATCCCAAAGTATTTTAACTGTATGACGTTGCCTACGCTACAGTTTATTGCCGCTAAACTACTTCACGCTCACATGGAACAGAAGTGAACATTAACGTGTGAATTCAGGGTGCTCACCACACCACAGGGTGCCGTGGTGTGTTAGTCTTGACTGATTTAGGAAACTACCTGAGATGGCATGTAGGGGAGGTGGCAGGAGAAGACAGGGAGTGTTTTGATAATATGATATGGAGTGGGGGAGGGGGGGGCAATACATTTACATAACCAACCTCAATACACTAGGCCCCATCAGGAAGGACTCTTAGGAATAAACTGGACTGTGAACAAGACGGTGGATCGATATTAACATCATCACAAGGAATCCATGACGGAACAGGAAGTAGGAAGAGTCCTGATACAACATCTAAACAGCGAGACACTCAACATACTGAAAACACACATAGAAAACACCAGGGAAAGCACAGGAAGTTTACTTACTCTCTAATTAGGCCATCAAAATGAAAACCAAATGAAAGGAAAAAATAAGTCAACATGTAAATTACAGTATAACACGGAATCTCTTTTCCTTTAACGGTGACGCAACAGAATGTTGCCAAGTTCAGTGCAGTATAAATTCCACTGGCACCGAAAGTCTTACAATATTTGTGCAAATTTAATCAACAGAAGAATTTTTAAAAGTAAAAAGGGGGGTTATTCAACCCACATAGCTTGCTAAGTGTGACAATATTCAGGTTGTAGGTTCTGAACAATCTACAGAACTAACCATACAAAAGCATAGGCAAAGCAGACGGCCTTACTTTGTTCAGGTCCTCATGGAGACCGTCCATGAGGAAGAGCAGCAGCTCCTGGGAATCCTGCTGCTCGTAGCCGGCGAACTGCTCGTTGATCTTGCCAATGGTGACCTTGAAATCCCGGGGGCTGATGTACTTATATAGCCCAGACCACAGCGCCTTCACAACCACACCAAACTCCTCTGCCACCTCACCCTTGTGCCCCAAGATGTTGAATCTATAAACACAGAGAGCACTGGTTGGTATCTTAGCATCAACGTCAAACAGCCCTGTCTCTAGCAGCCGGACGGGTCCCCGGAGGCCCCATTACAGGTAGGCTCCTACCTATTAATGTCTTCCTGGTAGTAGTTCTTATTGAAGTACTCAGCCATTGCAGGGGTGTTACACAGACATTGCAAGATGGAGTTCATGTAACAAGTGTTGCCAAGGTTACGCAGCCCGGTCAGTGACACCCCCAGTCCCCCAAACATGGGGTTCAGATTGCGGATTTTGGCAGCAGAGAGCCAGGAGATCTCGGTTTTAGCGTAAGGGGTCACTCTGGGCGGCCTGGAGCAAGGAAACATTAGTGGGTAAACCTAAGAGTCAAAGCTATCGGGCAGAAAAGCACAGCAGGCGTTTGAAGACCAACTTGATTTCTCTGTTGATGACGGGTGTGGCTGGCAGCTTCTTGGGTCCCTCTTCTTGAAGTGACTGCGTGATGTCGGGCGACGAGTAAGAGCGTTTCAGTTTGGCGTGGTCACTGTCGGGCTCGACGGCGCGCCGCTGCACTTTCTTCTGTTTGGGGGTTGGAGGCGTGGCTGGGGGCGTCTGGGATACGCTCACTTCGGGGGGGTACAGGTGTACCCTGTTGGTGGGGGAGTGGTAGTACCGGTACGTTCCCGTCACCGTGTCCAGGAACTGAGAAACACATAGGAGTGCAAATGCGATGATGTATAACCAAAGCGTGGCCTTTGGTGCTGTCATGACAACAGGTACGTATGCGGCATCCTGGGAGTGAGATGTCAATGTCAATACCTTCATCCAGCC